AACTCACTCTTAATATTGCACATGTCCATCATGACAACAGAGCCTCTTGAAGGCCCTGCCTCTCATCATTGTCACCCTGTCCCCTGTCATCACTGAACTCAGCTCCCAAAGCACAAGGACCCTGGGGAGGTCTTGGAACCCTGCCTGGCAGGATTGTACTGCCAAGGATAGTTTGGAGTCTGACCTCAGCAAGTGCCCACTAAGTAGCAGCTATAAGATGCTGAAGTCAAGCATGGCTGTGTGTGTGTGTGCCTCCTGTTGCCCTGAAAGAAGCCCCCATCAACAGTCAGGAGTGCACCACCTTCCATTCTGGAGGTGAGACTCCAGGAGCCGCAGTCTATTGGGCCTGCACCCTTTCTTCACACTCTTGGAGAGAAGTCATTTCTCTTCCTTTTCCAGTCTGAGAGGAGACCATTCTGACCTCTACTGCCCCTCCCACCCAGGGTGGTCCTGTCTAGTCTGGCCATGCGGTCCCTGTCTTGTCCTGTCTCTGAAGTTCCTTTACCATTGTGCTAATTACTTTCCCGTTGCTGTGACAATATACCCGACAAAACCAACTCTCGGTAGGTTTTGGCTCATGGTTTGAGATACCGCCCCATGGTGGTGAGGGAGGCATGGTGGCAGGAGTGACTCTCGAAGACCCCTCACCTCACTTCCTGAGGAACCAGAAGCAGGAAGAATGCTGTGGCCACTGCTTCCCCTTCCTGTCTGTTCCGTTCTGGACCCCACCTTGTGGGATGGTGCAGCCCTCCTGCAGGGTGAGTCTAACTCTCCAGTTAACCTCCTTAAAACACCCTCACAGACATGCCCCTAGCTGTGTCTTCTAGATGGTTCTAAGTCCAGTCAAACTGACAAGACAGCAGTGTCGGGAGTTGATAGGGAAGCCACAGCACAGTGCTTGCTTCACTGAATCCTCACGCCCAATGGGATGCTGTTACTATTACATTCATTTTGCACACTGTGGAAGTGGCACTTCGATTAAACAATCTGCCCCAGGTCAGGAAACTCTGGACTCCAAATGCCTGCTTCACATGGGCCTGGTGATGGATTTAATGACATGAATTTCATAAACTACCCCAGTATGGATCTCATACAAAGAAACATTTGTGTATCTCAGTTCAGACTACTCTATAAGAGATGGAAAGAAATAAAAGAAAAATGCTGCCTCCAGTCAGAGCCTAGCTGCTGTGTAGGGGACGCAGGTCACCCACCTGGTTTCCAGGGCCCACACCCGGCATCACTGTGGGGGTGGGGGTGGGGCTGAGTGGACTGAGAAAAGGCTGCCCCAGGGAGCCACAGCTGTGAGCACACCAGTCCCTTGTTGACTCCTGACAAGGCTGGAGAGAAGCAGCTTCCTACCAACCAGCACAAACTAGCTGTAAGCACTTCCAAGTTGTGTGAGCCCTTATTTTCCAGGTGTAGACACATAAATGGTGTGTCTCATAAAAAAATGACAATCTGTTAGGTTGATGGTGTTTTTGAAACCTCAATGTCTCATCTTCCTTCAAATGGCACTGTGACACTAGACGCCCTGACTGGGAATGGGGGCAAAAGTGGCCATCCAGCCTAGCCTACCTGATGAAGTCTAAGCTAGTGAGACATTCTCTAAATAACAAAAGGGGACAATGCCTCAAGAACAGTACCCAAAGGTTGTCTCTAACCTCCACAGGCGCACACGCACATTCCATGAACAGGCACACATGTATGCCCTCATGAACGTCCACATGCACACCTGTGCGCGCACACACACACACACACACACACACACACTTGTGAGGTTTGGGAGAGGGTACAGGGGCGTGACTTCTAAGGAGATGCCCAGCCCCTATCCATCATGACTGCCCTAAAGCCAAGTTATCCTGCCTCTCCCAGGCTCTTTTGACACCTGCAAGATGGCTGTAATTCATATCTAACATCCACCATTTGGGGAGGTTTGGAGACGTGGGTGATGGAAGAGTCCCGTGGGGCGTGAGAAATCGGGATCACTATAGTAACTAACTGCTGTACTAGAAGTCATAATGACAGAGCTGGATGACAGGACATCCAGTTTTGACGGTGATAAACCAGGGCAGGGGACCCGGCTACTCAGTGCTCATTGCGGTCGGAGAGCTTGAGGGCGCTAAGCCAGGAGTTGATGTGGGGAAACGCCGTTCCCATCAATACCCTAACATTTGCTTTGTCCTTGAGCCTCACCTCACACCCTTGTTGACACAGAGGCCATTAGGGAGCAATGGGCAGCCTTGGAAGTAATGGGCTGGAAGGAGGCGGCAGCTGGATTTCCTCTTGAGATGATAGTGTTATGATCAATCTCAGGCTGTCACTAATGTCACCAACATCTGCATCAGCGATCAGTTGGTATCAGGAGCCCTATCACTCTTGAGCCCACCCTTGGAAACGGTGCCGGGTCCAAAGCTCAATGCTAAAGTTTCCCACAGGTCTCAAAGATCTCTATTGCACCCAGGAACCAGTGTCACTAGTGACACCACATGGTTCATGCTCTGTGTGGGAAATGCAACAACCCTCTTCTCCAGGGGGGAGCCATGAAAACCATGGGACCAGGTTGGCCCACCAACATTGAGCGTGACTGGAAGTTTACCCCAGAAGTTCTGACTCACAGCTGCTTCTCTCGGGGAAAACAAGAGGCTGGCTGTGTACAACGGCCGGCCGGGCTGCTGTATGCCTCCTGCCTTTAAGGTGGCCACTGTCTGCTCAGCCTGCTTGCTTTATCTGTAGGCTAAATAGATAGCAATAAAGGGTTATATACATTGCAGTTTGCCCATCAAACAGGACATGGGAGGTCATTAAAAACAGGGCTGAAGTTCCTGACATAGACTGAAAATATTAGGCCACAAATTGTTCACCTGAAAAGCAAGATATCATGCTGTATATCTAATAGTGGCAGATGCTTATAAGTGGGAAAAATACGTGGGCCTGTGTGCCCGTGACCCCAAAGTCAGGAAAGAGACACAAAAGTTTAATTGTCACCAGGCTCTCTCTCAACATGGGCTGCAGACCCATACAACGCACGGCAATGGAAACCTACTTTCTGTGCGTATGGGGAGGGTATTTTTAAGAACCTTCTTATCTATATCCCCATCTTTCTTCATCTAACGTGTACAATTTGTGTCATGGTTAAACTTGAAAGCGACAGGCCCCAGAACAGCCACAGTAGCACCTGTACTGTTTCAAAGGGGGAAAAAAAACGAGAACTCAAACAGTAGGGGCAGAACAAATGAAATTTGTGCATTCGCACAACACAGACTTAGCCAGCCTGAAGCTGTTATACTGCAACACCTGTGATGTCATGAGGAGGCCGACACTGCCCCCTCAGCCCCACGCTGCTTTCTCCTTCTTGTAAAAAGGTGAAAGACTGGGTTTTCCAAGCTCCGGATGTCTTGGATCCAGTAGGAAACTGGCTTTAGATATGCAGATATCTCTGAGGCTCCAAAACCAGATCTCCAGCAGAGCAGCCGGGGACCCTGGGTCTCACACCCACTGTCCCTAGAACTCAATAAGCCACCATGCTTCACCCCCCTTTCAGCATGAGGTTGTTATAAACACGGGGAATTGTGTTTTACTGTGTTTAGTTTTGTTTGCTTGTTTGAGTCAGGGTTTCACAGAGCCCAGGTTGGTCGTAAACGCCACGTGTAGCAAAAGCTGACCTTGGCTTCTGACCCTTCGCCTCTACCTCTCCCACGCTGGGATCACCATTATGAGCCACTGTGTCTGGTTTTATGCAGTGGTGGGGATCCAACCCAAGGCTCCAAGGCTCTGTCCATGCTGAGCAAGCATTTTACAAACTGAGTTACAGCCCCAGCCCTGTTTGTTTCTTGAGACAAGATCTCACTATGGAGCCCAAGATGGCTTCCAAGTGACAGCAATCTTTCTATATGAGCCTCCAGATATTAGAACTAACAGACAACACCACACCCACCCCGTTTGCTCTCTTTCCATAAAAGTGAATCACAGAGCCCTATCTACAGCATTGTTGAAAACAGAAAACTCTAATACACACAGACACACATACACACACACACACACACACACACACACACACACACACACACCATGGAGGTTTGAATAGGAATGACCCCCATAAGCTCATATATTTGAATGCTTGGTCATCAGCGAGTGGCACTACTTGAGAAGGGTTAGGTGTGGCCTTGTTGTTGAGTAGGTGTGGCCTTGTTGAGTAGGTGTGGCCTTGGAGGAAGTGTGCTTTGGGGTTTCAAAAGTCCAAGCCAGTCCTAGTGTCTCTTCTTTCTGCTGCCTGCAGATCTCAGCTACCATGTCTGCCTGCATGCCACCCAGCTTCCCACCACAATGTCAAAAGACTAAACCTCTGAAACCGTAAGACAGCACCAATTAAGATTTTTTTCCTCATAAGAGTTGCTATGGTGTCCTCTCTTCACAGCAATAGAACTCCAAGGCAGAGACTCCGCTAAAATAGTGAACACTGGTGCTGAAATCATGGAGGACTTAACATTTCTATAGTTTTAAAAACCCTGAGTACCCGTTGTTCACATAGCATGTGTGTTACTTCTAATCTCCAGAAACTTAACGCTATGAGAAAAATGGCTGTTTGGGTGGAAGGGTCTGGGTGTCTCGTGCTCTCCTGTAGGTTCCAGGAGGGCTTCCCTTGGGTTTACAACAGGAAGGTTGTCCATCACTTTTATCACTGTGATCAAATACCCGACAAATGCAAACCATCCACTGTGTCCTTTCCTCCTTTCCCTTCCGAAGAGTGACATCTCTGCCTTTATACTCTTCCCTCGGGAACCGGAAATGGTTAGTGGTGTCAGTAGTAAGTAGTGATGATGGCCGCAGCGCTCACGATGGAACGACGCTGGCAGAGACCTCGGGCCCAGGTTGAGTAATTAGCTGGTTTATTTTGCACCTTGCACCCCTGGATGAAGTGGACTTTTGTCCTTTCCCATCGGGAGCTGTCAAGCGGTGAGATGATGGATGGATCAAAGCAGCAAACAGAAAAGCATCCTCAGTCACAAGACATGGCTGGCAAGTGCATCAGGTCTACCCCGCCGTGTCAGACCACAACCATCCAGCCACCTTTCCAGGGTGTCAGATAGCTGGCAATACCTGGACCAGACGGGCCTGCAGAGGGAAGGCCAGAGAGTGGTCGTGGTGGCTCCTTAGTCAGTGCTTGGGCTCCTCAGAGCCACACACACCTGCCAGGCCCTAGGACAGCTATGTCTCCCCAGTGTGGACACATTTCCTCAGGACTTTCTGCTCCTCGGTACTCACCTGGTGTGGATGCAGGTGCTTCCTCCATGATGTGGCCACACTACCCCTACCTCACACAGGAATTCTGCCCAGCTGGGGCACCACATCCTTGTGAGGTATTAGTCACTCCTCTAAGAGTGCTTCAGAGTTCTGTAACTACCCCAGGGTCCTAGGGTGTGTCCTTGGCCTCGGGCTCCTTCCACAGTACCTACCTTAACTCTGTAGCATCTAAAACTTCTTCCCCTCTTTACTTTTCCTGGGGCATCTGAGTGCTCTTTAACCTTTTTTCCTGATGTCCCCAGTGGTCTTTCCCCTAGTTCCAGTCTCTAGTGTCCACACCAGGGCCCAAGTCCCTAACCCCATCTACAGTCCTGCTCCTTAGCCTTGCAGGGCACCACTCATCTTCAGGATGGGGACTCGGAGCAGACAGTGGTCCCTGGCCCCTTGTAGCCACAGAATAACAGAAAATAACACACATCCACCTTCTCAGAAACTCCAAGGCTTCTTCACAGCTCAGGGGCAGATGTGTTAAAGGGGTTCCCCAGGGCTGTAGGATTTTCCCTCCTCTCTTGTTCACACCACAGGGCAGGGTGACTCGGTCTGAGCTGTTGCAGATACATGGCTGCCTGTCAGCTTACTCAGAGTCTGCCTTACCAGGAATCTGGACAATAAGGCATGTCAGCTACCATGGTACAGCTTACTGGTCCACAGCACCACACAGCAAAGATGACTTTGGCTCATTAACGTTTATCCTGGAGACTCAGCCAAGCTCACCAATTATTCAGAAAGCCCAGACCACTCATCATTAACAAGGAGGTTTCCACCACTGGGTGCAATGTGCTCTGTTAGCAGCGAAATTGCATAAATGGATTCATGATGTTGACAGCAATGAGTAGACTTAGCAGAAATTAAAAATCAGTAGCACCGACCTCACTTTTCATAACAAAATCAATTACAAAGGAATCCAAAATTTAAACATAAAAGAATAAAAATCATAAAAATTCTACTTTTTGTTTTTTAATTTAGCAAAGGTACACAGGGCTGACTTGGTGTCAGCAGTGTTCTGATACTGAGAGAACGTGTAAGGAGCTCTTGCTAAGCCTCTAGTACAAAAATACCTTAAATTCGTGTGTACTTGTGTTTTCATGCGTGTGCAGATGTACATGTGTGTGGGTGTGGCATTAATGTAGAAGTCAGAGAATAAAGTCAGGAGTTGTTCCTTAGGCATGGTCCACCTTGTTTTCTGAGAAAGGGTCTCCATTGGCCTGGAGCTGGCTGGCCAGTAAATCCCGGGGACCCAGAGCTGGGGTTATGAGTGCATGTCACCATACTTAACATTTTTTTAAAGCATGGGTTCTGGGGCTCGAACCCAGCTCCTCATGCTTTCAAGGCAAGGGCTTTCCCAACTGAGCTACCTCCCAGGTCTCAAACACATTTCTAAGACGGGGGTTTCACATAGACCCAGGAGCCACAAGAGAAAAGACAGAGGGGTTTGCTTCTAAGAAACTTTTGGGTCTCGTCTAGGATGAAGATGTCATCAATGAAGTCACAAATGACAACCCTAAGAAAACAATCCACACAGATATGAACACTTAATAGCCCTCGTTTATAAAGGACACATTAAAAATAAGTGAGAAGGGGCTGGAGAGATGTCTCAGGAATTCAGTTCCCAGCGCCACAAGGGCTCAAAACTGCCTGGAACTCCAGCTCCAGGGAATGCAATGCCCTTTTCTAACCTCTGCAGGCACCGCACACACATAAACACACCACACACACACACACACACACACACACACACACACAGCGCTACTAATATGAGCCATGGTGAATCACCTCCACTTCAAGTCACCTAGAACAACACTTGTTTACTGACAGGGCTTCCAGGGAGGCGCCACTGAGCAGGGACCCTGAATGTGGGCGGTGCCATCAAACGGACTAAGGGTCTGGGGTTGGACCAAAAGAAAATAAAGCTGAGAGCAGGCATCTCCTCTTGTTACCTCCTGACTGTGATTACCATGTGACACTCCTGCCATGGTGACTGCCCTGCCATGGGAGACTGTACCCCTCAAACTGCGAGCCAGATGCATCGGCTTCCTTCCTGCCTTCAGCTGCTCCTGTCAGGTATTTGGTCACAGCCAGAGGCCCTTGTCTGGCCTCCTGCATGAGCAGCAGAGGACATGCCACTTACCATGCCCCCATCCCTTTTTTTCCTTTTACGATTTTCTTGGCACATTTGATTGTATCCTTTAAGTTTGGATTCAGTAAAGCTGCAAAGAAAGTGAAAGGAGACCATGCTGTGACATTTGATGACAGGTAGCCTGTCTTTCCGCCATGCAGCCTCACCTCCCATTGCTTGCCTGCACAGCCCGCTATTCAAGACAGGTCACAGGCAGGGGACACGGATGGGTGAGCCATAGCCCAGGACCATTGCTTTAGAAGGCAGCGTGGAGAGGTGACAGAGGCTTCTGAGCCTTCTGGTGCAGCCTGGGAGAGGACCGAAGGCGGGTGGGTAGGTGTAGGTCCCCCAGAAGCTGAAGACCCTGGACCACTCCTCATTAATCAGGGTACAGGGGAAACTCTAATGAAGCCCAGGGACCCCAGGGCTAACACTTAGACCCTCTGCTGCAGAGATGCTTCAGGTGGCCTCTTGGTGTAACTGTGACCTAGGGGCCACTTCTTTTGTTTCTCACCAGCCGTGTGCCCTTGGGTGTGGACTTACTGTTTCTGGGCCCCAGTTTGCCCGTTTATAGAATGGGAATAGAAACAATGAGCATTAAAGGAACTGACGCCCACAAAGGGCTTGGGGAAGTACCTAATAAAGCCTCTAGAGGCGCTCAGAACTCAGGAGGATCCCGGCCAACCGCTTCCTCACGGCCTAGGCCTGGGCCTAAGGACCCAGGTCCCTTTAACAGGCGCAGATATGCTCCCTCTGGGCTGGCAAGCCCCTGAGTCCTCCCTACAACCACATCTGACTGTCATGGTAACAGTACGGGTCCCCACGGAGTGAGAAGTGATGCGTGGGCGACGTAAGACCAGAAGGAGCAATCTTTTCCCACTCTCAAGAGGCTTGCTCTAACATCCCAGCCATCCCAGCACCTTCTGGGTCTGTTTGGCCTTGGTTTCCACCATTCTCCCTTCTCAGACTGGCATGCCCTTCCTCGCCTTCCCCCTGTCAGGGACCCTACCTCCCAGGGACAAGCTTTAAACACAGCCCAGGCCAGTTCCCTCCTCCAGTCCTCTCCACAGGTGTAGGCTCTGCAGCCTGCAGTGCCCTGGGAAGGAGGGGACCCACCGGAGCAGGACGCGCTGCACAGGTTCCTGCCGTGGTCACACCATTCACTGTCTCGGATCTGAAAGAGGCCAAAGCCAGTGTAGCCACCTTGTGAGTTCTCATACATAGCCGAGGGGTTGAACTTGCTCTCAAAATAAGCCAGGCACACCCCTAGGAGGTGGACAGCAAGCGGTGTGAGGAGAAGACGCTTGGTACAGGGCAGGGTGGCAGGGCAGGGAACGGAGATCAAGGAGGTGAGGATGGAGGGGCTGCAAGGGTCCCACTCACAGTTTTCAAGGCTGTAGCCCTCGAAATAATCCAAGCCTCCTTCCTGGAGCCTCTTAGCCACCACGCAGCGCCCCAAGATGGAAGCGCCGATCGGAGTCAGCAAGCAGCTGATGAGCGGCAGCACCAGGTGCACCTGCATCTTCTCCACAGTCTAGAGGCTCAGGGTCGTGGACACCAGCTGAGGGGACAGTGTCAGGCAGCTCCTTCCAAGGTCACAGGGACACCGGACTTCCCAGGGAAAACACAGGCGCTGGAGAAGGGGGGATTCAGGGCGGCCACAATGAACAGCATCGCCCGCCTGCCTTGATGAAGGGGCCCCCCACCCCCACCCCGCCACCATGACTCTGTGCTCGTGCGCCTGAGGCCCGTCTCACCCACACCTCCCATTTGCCGAGGAAACCACACTCTGCAAGTTCTCTGCCTCCCAGAAAGACCGAGGGGCGCCTTGGATTGTAGCTCTGCTATTTTGTTCCATCAATAGGTATAGACAAGGGCATCCTTTCCTCTCCCTCTATTCTGTGGTCTACCGCCAAAGTTAAACTCGTAATGTACGCTTCCGGAAGAAGGAGGAGGGCACGAGGAGGAGGGATGAGAGGAGGGATGAGAGGAGGGATGAGGAGGAGGGGTGAGGAGGAGGGGACGAGGAGGAGGGACGAAGAGGAGGGATGAGGAGGAGGGATGAGGAGGAGGAGGGATGAGGAGGAGGGATGAGGAGGAGGGATGAGGAGGAGGGATGAGGAGGAGGGGATGAAGAGGAGGGATGACGAGAGGGATGAGAGGTGAGGAGGGGGGACGAGGAGGAGGGATGAGGAGGAGGGATGAGGAGGAGGGATGAGGAGGAGGGGATGAGGAGGAGGGATGATGAGAGGGTGAGGAGGAGGGATGAGGAGGGGATGAGGAGGAGGGATGAGGAGGAGGGATGAGGAGGAGGGATGAGGAGGAGGGGATGAGGAGGGCACGAGGAGGAGGGATGAGGAGGGGATGAGGAGGAAAGGGTGAGGAAGGAGAATAAAAGGAAGGAAATGAGGAAAAGAAAAAGG